TCCTTCCTTCCTTCCTTCCTTCCTTCCTTCCTTCCTTCCTTCCTTCCTTTCTTTCTTTCTTTCACTAAAAGTCTTGCATTGCAGGAAATCTCTCAGTCCCAAGCAAACCAAAATAGTTTTCTTGGGATTGAAACCCAAATTTCAGAACTGAAAGTCATATATCCCAGGAACCTACTTAGGCTTTTGAAAGGCAGAGATTTATTTTCACTGCTGTTACGTGTGTACAATTCCCACAGCATCATGAACAATTATCCACTGGTACTTTTTGGGGATTTGGTCCCAGGACTCTAAGGATACCAAAATATATGGATGCCCAAATCCCTATACAAAATGGCAGAAGGCTTATGAAGAACATGCACACACCCTCCTGTAAGTTTTGAATCATCTAGTTTACTTATAAACCCAACGTGCAACAAATGCCGTAGAGTTATGGCTCAGTGGTAGAGCACTTGCCTGGCATGTGTGAGGCCCTGGGTTTGATCCTCAGCACCGCATATAAATAAATAAATGAATAAATAAAAGATCTATTGACAACTAAAAATATATTTTTTTTTAAAAAAAATTTGCTACACTGTATCATTTAGGGAATAATGAAAAAAATATCCTGTACATGTTCAGCACAGATGCAATATTTTTTGGAAATATTTTTGCTCTTTGGTAGAATCTGCATCTGCAGCTGGGGACCCCTTGGGTAGGAGGGGCCGTCCTGGCTTAAAGTAGTTCCCTCCTGTGTTTCAGGTCAACCGAGCAGCCTCTCTCTAGGACAATGCTGGTCTGGAGGCAGAGAAAGAAAGGATCAGAGAAGCACACATTACTTTTGGGTGCTGGAGATTGAACTGTGGGACCCTTGGCCACTGAGCCACGTCCCCAGCCCTATTTTATGTTTTATTTAGAGACAGGGTCTCACTGAGCTGCTTAGCGTCTCACCATTGCTGAGGCTGGCTTGGTACTCGCCATCCTCCTGCCTCAGCCTCCCAACACCACTGGGATAACAGGTGTGCACTGCCTGTCTCTTAAAGATGCTGGAAGGACCCCAGTCACCTCACTCATCTCTTTGGCCAGCATAAATCACATGACCAAGCTGCCTGGGTGGAGCAGGACGGTGGGGGGGGGCAGGGGGATGGCCGGGAAGGGATCTGGGGTGGGGCATGAGGCCGCTGAGGGAGGAGGTGATCTGGGGTGGTGGCCACAGCCTCTTTCCTGCCCCCGCGCTAATGGGGTGAAATGGTGCTAATTTGACAGGCCCATTGAAGTCCTCCTGATGGCATGTGACTCTGACTCATGACGAGAGGTGAACTGGGTTTTCTCGGAGGCCTTACAGGGATAGCCTGGAGCCATTGCAGTCCAGTGTTCTCCATGTTCCCTTGTGAATGGTCTAATCAAGGAACCGGGAGAGCGCCTTGCTAAGTGATCTGCCTTTTAACCATTGTAATTGTTTCATGTTGGAATGCAAAAATGATCCGCGTAATGAGAGCCACTTCCATTCAAGTCTCCGCAGACCTCTGACAACCTGCGGGGCCACGTGGAGCCAGGCGCCGGTCAAAGCGGATCAAATGCAGTTTTTAAAATCCGGTCCTACTTGGGGGGAGCCTGGGAGGTGGCCGCCAAGCCCATCTGCCTTGGAAGGAAGAGAAAGGAGAGGAAGAGGGGACGGGAGACGGAGGGACACAAGGAAAAGGAGAGCAAAAACCACCTTTGCGTCTTCAGCGTCTTTAGGGGACCATGGGGGGGGCAGGGGGCGGTTTCCTGCCTGGGTGACCCTGAAGCCTTCCATCACCCCCTCCCCCCCCCTCAGATCTGACATTTGTGCCCCCGGGTGTCATTTCATCCGGGCTGCCCGGGTCCCTGCCAGCGCATCTTCTTCATATTGAATCCTCGCGTGTGGACACCTGTATGTCCCCATTTATCTACAAACCTCCGTATAAATGTTTACCCAGGACCCCTCTCGGGCCC